TACGGCAACATCCGGTTTCAATATGTTCATGAATTCCGATGCAATTTTGTCTTTGAACATTTGAAAATAAGGTGTTCCCGTGTATGTATCACCTCCATTTAGAAACAGAACCGGCAACCCATTCCTTGTCTGATGATCGGCTCGATATCGTTTGATGAGAGTTGCAGCTCGCCCAAAGCCGCCGTAGCATTTGTGTTCTAGAGCCCTTTCCGGTGAACATTCACTGCCGGAATCTGACATTTCTTCGAAGTGTGCGTGCAAATCATTATTGTGCAACAGGATGAAATCCAATGCAGACTCTTTATTTTCAATTGGAACGGCACTCGCTACCGAAGCCACTAACAACAAAACAATACTAAATTTGATTAATTTCGACATTATTCGCACATCGATTCAACGTAAAAATAAAAAAATATGTGTTATACACAGCTGATAAAATAAAATCGTTCACGTTGAGTGTCTCAAAACGAATTGATCAACAACGCTCAAAAGGTTTCATATATAGCAGATATCCATCAGATGCTGTGTCATTCATTTTTTTCACAGGTATTGTCAGTACAGAGTCTGTACTACAGACAGTATATTGTGCTAATTAAGCAATAAACTAGAGCTTTATGGATGCGAAGTGTAATTGTACTAAACGAAAATATAAGCTGTAGACAATGCAAAAAAGCACAAATATCAGTTTATTGGTACACATACTTATGTTCTTATAAAATTAATTAGTATATAAAAACATGCATTGTGCTCGTCTTCTGTAACCTTATTTAGAATACAGAAACCAATGACTTTGTAAATCATTTTAATGCGATTGCGATAAATGAACACAAATTATTTACAGTCATATATCGCTCATTTATGTGCGAGTTTTTTTGGCGAAACTTCTTGAATTTGGTATTTTTGTTATCTAAATGTAATCAGCAATTATACGGAACTGCTGCTAAAACGTAAAGTTGAGCCTTTTGAAAGAAGTTAAATGAATGAATGAATTTTTTTACACAATATAATAAATCGTTTGAATATTTTAGTAAGCATTCATATCGCATTTAGTACATATACACATATTTTTTTAAATCTTATCTTGAAGTTATTTAGTATATCGAAATGAGACCGAAATGATTTCTAAATCTTGATTTACAAAACATGAACTTACTAAGCGCTAAATTTAGTAAAATAAATATTTTTCAATAATAATTACGTATAACACTCTTTCGATAGTAAAATTCTTTTAATTAAACGACCGTAATTTCTATTTTTAAAAAAAACTTTTTATTGAGTGATATTAGTTATTTTTATTGTTTCAAATACATGGATAACGGCTAAATTATTGATTGCTATTCATTTTATATACAAAAATATGCGTTGCTATGTAACAAATATCAAAAGTTGACCAGGTTTAAAAAAATAATAATTTGAAAGTGTTTTTTTACAAAATTTCTCTGCTATTCAATCATATTTTTACTATTTGAACATATTTAATCAAGTTTTTTCTACTTTGACACACCTGCCACTTCTGATATTAAAATTGATTTGGCCATACGATCATTTCAATCCAGTCCAAATAAGAAGCAACTCTTGTATAAACGCCTGGTAGTTCTTTGCTAAAACAGCCAACCCCAAATGACACGATACCTACAACCCTTGCAACCGGACTTGAGTCTTTGAAATATTGAATTGGCCCCCCGCTATCTCCTCCACAAGCGTCACTTCTTTCTAGTCGATCCTGTGCACAATATTGGCCATAACTGAGACCGTTTTGAGTCATTGCATTACTTGCATACTTATTATGTTCCAAAATCGCTGCATTGCACTGAGAAAGTGGTACCGTGGTCAGTTGTGCCATTTTCAAGTCATTTGAAGGCGAAGATCCTCCAAAAGACCCTTAAATGTTAAGATGTTAATTCATTCTCATTCTTTAATATGAATCAAAATATTAGCCTACTATCGATCTACCTTCCTTAGTGTTACCCCAACCTGTCACGATAAGATTTACATGTGATGGTAGATCTCCTACATCTGTTTCCAAACAGGCCGGTCCAATTTTATTCGAAAATTGAATATTATTCGTCACCTCAATCAATGCGATGTCATTCTTCAGGGTTTCATTTGAATAGCTCCCATGTACAAATTTACTCTGTTGCAAAAGTCATAAAAATCAAGAGTTTTAGCTAAATTACAAATACCATTTTGAGTGATTGAACCGGTGACTAAATTCAGAAAAAATATATTTTCTGATTTGACCAATAAATCCAACAATTACAAATCAGTTTTCTGCTTATGAACAACCAGAATTCTCACCTTTACTTGATAGTCGTCATATGAAGGGTGGTAACTATCAATCAGCTTATTCTGTTGAGTTTTAAAATTCACATTGAATCAAAATGATTAAATATTTTATGATTAAAGGGGTTCTTTTCTTACTGTTCCTAATCGAATAAGATTTACATCGAATTTCATCAAACAATGCGCTGCTGTTAATATGAACTTATTTGATATAATTGTGCCACCACAAAAAAAGAACACTTGCTGATTGTTATATTGATTGTAATAAACTTGTCCCAGAGCAGCCTTAAAACATGTGGAATATTAGTGAAAGCAATAATTTGTTTGAAATAAAAATACCATCCATATATATGTGTTGGGTGGAGCATTGTTGCCACCCAAGATTTTAGATGTCGCGGACTTTTGATGGCTGATGAGTTGACAGGCTGATTCAGAGAGGAAGAAAAATAAATAAATAAATATAGAAAATTGTTGGAAACACCGAAAATGTCCAGAAGAAAGAATTATTAAAATATTACCTTTGTCTGATTTTCGCATTGTTTGACCTTTTTTCAAAATTTCAACGATTCTTGCATTTCCTGGATAAAAAAGTAAGTTTGACTTTGATTAAGCTTCGAAAAAATGTTTATCATTAAAATATCCAAAATCTTCTCAAAACCTTGAAGGCAATTAAAAAATAATTTTACTATTAATCTTGATACCTTTTATTGTGGCCAGGTTTAGTGGTGTCAACCGATCGTTTGATTGAATGTTGACATTAGCGCCATTCTGGACTAACACTGCAACGACTTTTTCATGGCCTGAATTTGAAATTTTCAAAAACAAAAAAATCCATGATGATTTAAAATGTTGATGTAAAAATATAGTCTATAACTGAAGAAGGAATAAAAGATGGAACTCTACCATTCCATGTAGCGCAGTGTAAAGGTGTTTGCCCATAATTGGTCTGAAGATTAATGTTCGCTCCATTTTTAAGTAGCAGGTCAACAACTCTTTCGTGACCTACGTAAACGATTTCGATACAAATATCATGCATATTTTTGAATTTTACTTTCCCGCAGAGCATGACATCGCACATGACAATTTCATGCTCTGGTTTCCCTTAAAAATTGATTCATTTTTAAATCACCTTGCTGCGCGGCTACATGAATCGGTGTAAATCCGCCATTTTCTCTGATGTTTACATCTGCACTATTTCTAATCAACCTTTCAATCACATCAATTTGACCTAAATTTCATTAAAAAATCATATTCTTACAAATATTTTAATTGGAAATGGGCTTTATCCACCCATACTGCAAGCAAAAAAAAACATTGAACATATCTAAATGTTTGGTGTTTGGTTACCATAGTAAGAAGCCAAATAAATTGGACTATAGCTGCCGCCATATGCCAAAATAACTGCATTAGATTGATCTGAATGAAAAAAAGACATCTATTCAATTTCATCAGAAAAACTCATAGTTTGCCATAATAAATAGATAGGCGTAGTGCCAGCTTTTATGTTTATTCGTCACATACTGCACATTTTACCTCAAGTAAATTTTGAAATCGAAATTTTTGAATTTTAGTTTAGTCTCCTCAAAAAAGCACGAACTTTTTACAAATAATGAGCGCTTTTGTGTGGAACTGTTACTTTCTTGTTGAATATTTACCTACAATATATCCTTGACCAGTAATATTGGTCAGAATGACAGCAGAATATAGAAAGAGCACAGTTAATAGCTTCATCGCTTAAGGTAAAACGTTGTTCGATTTATTGCACTCAATGCAAGCTACAAATAAATATGAACTGAAATGAGAAAAGGAACATACACTTTTTAAACTTTAACTTTTTGGATTGATTCAATTTGAACATGGCACATTCGTTTGAATTCGTAATTTTGCACAAGTTGTATGCAATTTTAATGAAATCATTTTATGTATTCCTTTTTTTTGCAAATTTTGTCGAACTCGTAAGTAATTTGATTTGAAACATGTCTTGATAATGGTCATCTTACGTATGAACACGCGCACGCTGATAACATTTTTGTTCTAGATGAACTCTACACGTACATTGTAATCATCACATGAATCACACTACATTAAGATTATGTAGATCATTTAGATAGCAATGCACGGGCCGCAAACACTCAAAACACCATTGTACAGTCCATTGTCAATATAATATATAATATGTAGAGATATTTTTTGTTAAAAATAATCAGATTTACTATGCTGTAAAATGCCATTTATTTGATTGCAGTTATTTGTTAAAAAAACTATCACAGATATCTCGAGAGATACGAATTTCTTATACAGTTCGGAATTGTATCATAAAATCGCTGAATATGAATAGAAGCTGCGAATATAGCACTGCTTTAGCTGTAGCCACAATCGATTCACTACTTTTATTTATATTCTAAAATCCTTTCAGTAAGTAATCAATACAAAGAAGACATACCACGAATTTTCCTTAAAAATGAACTTATTTTTTTTTGGACAAACGTAATATTTCGATTTAAAACTTTAAAATAACACACTTCTTCTGCAAACAAAAATATTGCACAGTTAAATTAAAATTTTGAGGATTTAAAAGAGATAGCTTGAATCGCTCTTGGTTGAACCTCAACTGTGCTGATTTGTCAGACGTGCTTTAAACAGACGGAAAAATAAAGTGAATCGCAAAAAAATCAATTGATAATAGAAATGACACAATATTCTTATTTTATGATTTTAATTGGAATTTACTGTGTTTTTTTTTGTAATAGCATCCACTCATATCTTCCATAGAAAGAAGATAACACATTTCAGATTAAGAAAGTTTTGTTGATTTCGTCAGGTCATTAAGTTCATGTCCTTCTATGTTGTGGAAATTTCTAAAAATGATACGACTTTAAAAAGACTTTAAAATTGGGCAAATGTTTCGACTATGGTAACGCAACCGAAAGCGCGCCGGTCTTGAAAAAACATGTAAAAATACTAAAAATACTTGGGAACGGCGGGTGTAAGCTCGGATAGCCCCCTCTTAAATCGTCCGAGCTAACCCCCATACGATTTGCTAGGGATTTTCGTCAAAAAGTGACCTCCAAAAAAATGAAAAATCCAGTTTTCCTGAGAGAAAATTTCTTTCGATTGGCTGTAAGCATGTAAACCAGAGATCAGGTGAATGGGTGAATTTCTGAGTTTAGCGAATGTATTAACTTGAATTAGGAGTCTCCTTACACACCAAACTATACAGTCATTCTTATCTTACATGGTAATCGATGGCCATTGGCAGAGACCAGAAAAGATTATTATAAAAAATTATTAAAGTAAAGTAAAAATGAATGAATAAGAAAAAAAATATTACAACCGTAATTAAATTTAAGCCGAAAAAAATATTTAATAACTTTACTCACTTACTTGTTGAAAAAATCAACATAGTTTCAGGAGTAAAAAATTCGTCCAGAAAAAGTAGCAACGAGGCGATTTCGGCAAAGATACCATTTTATTTATTAAATAAGTTCAGAAATAATTTCAATTCGTATATCTTTTCATTTAAAAAATGGACATGAAAAAATTACATTTACCACGTGAAACATTTGTTTGATAAGAATTGACTAAGTAATAGGGTTGCTACAATCAGAACAACAACTGAAAATGGTTTCACTACACTCGATGTTGATTTAGATACGTTATCAATTACACCGTTCACTCCAATGAATCTAATTCGTCCTTCGATTGCTGGATAGATCGATTCAAAGCGATGTATGTAATTAATCACTGCATCAGCTGCCTCCAGTTTCATGTCAATGTATTCGTATGGCTAAAAAATAAATACATTTAATTAAATCGAAACGATAGGATTTTTTTGCTGAAGATTCGATTTAATATAATTAAGAGATTTAAAAAGGGAAAAACGAAAAATATTTTCGAGGATCAACACTTACTTTGAACATAGAAAAACCATCACCCCCTTCGTATGAGAATTTGGTAAGAATAACTCCATAGGTTTTCTGTTCATCAAGTGGTTCGTATACAGGTACACTACAGGTAGCACACAACACTTCAACAGAATGAACACGTGGGCCTTCTCCTTTTTGCAAATTATAAACAACACGCATACCGGACATCTGCGAAAAAGATCCTCGATATTTCACAGAAAATTCCAAAACTTCAATCAATACGCCTCCCGGAATATATGTAATAAATAATTTATCTTGAAATGGTAATATTGTTTGCAATTTGTATTTGGTAAGATTTCCAATTGTAGCACCACTACGAATTCCACCATTATTCATAATAGCGACTGAAGCATCTGTCCATCCGGAATCTGTTCCGGAATCTGTGTATTGTTGTACTCGGTTATAGACAAATGCATCAGTTATCAAATTTCCAATATTACAATCGAAATCACGACAGTCATTTTTCAATTCAACTTTTGAATAGGTAATAGTATTTTTGGTTAGAGCTTCAACACTTGGACGATATTTGGCCAATAATTCAATTACTTCTGCATCTTGTGGTATTTGATAATCTAATAGTATGGGGTTACCACTCCAACGAATCAAGTTTCCGTCCTCATCGAACTGAAATGAAGAGACACAATTTGAATAAAAAAATGCAGCGATTAAGAGCAAAACACTCAGTTCCACATACACTCAATTCTAGCTTGCCCAAGTATTTCGCATAACAAGACGCTTGGACAACAGGAACTTTTTTCCCGTTTGGCTGTTCGATTATGGTTGGATATGGGCCGAGTGGTTTGTCATTTAGATCGGGCGGTGTTCCGGTGTATAAAAAGGTATGCGAATGTGCACCCACAACTAAATCGATCATCGGACATTCTCTCGCTATTTCCTGATCCACGTCATAACCCGAATGACCCAATGCAATGATTATCTTAACGCCTTGACTCGTCAATGTCTCTGCTTCCTTACTGAATTATTAAAACATGTATATTTGGTGTTCATCAAACTTTAGTTACGAACTTAAAGAAAACTACGTTGGTATACGTACTTGATCGCGGCGATTTCGTTTGAAAAAATAACATCTTCGCTTTTTGATATATTCTTTGTCTCCGGTGCTATGTATCCAATGACTCCAACCTTTGTGTCATTCACATCAAACACAACTGATGGCCGCACCGAATGAGTTTGCATCAGCGGATGATCGTCCGGAATATCCAAATTGGCCACAGCTATCGGGAAACTGACGTTTCTCAAAAACGGCAAAAGTCCATTTATTCCCAGATCAAAACCATGATTTCCTAATGTCTATACAGAAACAGATAATTAAATACAATGCAAATTGAAATAATTCAAGAATTTTTGTTTAGCTAATAGAGTGAATCATTCACACAAATGAATGGGTCAGAATAAAAATCCGACTTGTACGCAGAGTCTATAAGAGTGGAACACAGCGTTTTTTTTAACATAGAATTGTTGTTGTATTACAACAAATAAACTAATGTAAAAAAACTCCATGTTCCACTTTTATAGACTCTGCGTACAAGTTGGATTTTTATTTTGACCCATTCAAATGATGCAACGATAAATCGTAATAGAAAAAGGGGTTTTTTCGCTTATCGCCCATTTATTTTCGGCCGGGGAATTTTTAAAATATCATTGATTGATTCAGCTTATCTTCGATGTAAGATTATTCATATGGGTATATAAGATTTGACCGCAAACGAAACGAAATCAATTCAAAGTGTTCGGTCATTTAAACTGTGAATTACAAACACTTTAAAGCCAAAAAGCCAAAATGAATTTCAAATTATTCTTCTTTTTCGCCACGGTCTTCTTTCTTCAAGTAAATTCAATGGGAGGAAATGACAGCAAATTTTAAAATTGGCGCGCTGTTTAGTTTCAATTTGAGTTGTTAAATTACATTGCATTTTCAAATTACATTTGAAATTCAGGGCGCCACCGTTGGCTCAAAGAGACTTGAAGTCTTCACATCCTCTCATTGAGCAAATTCTTTGTGATTTCGAACACAGCTGTGACATGCGCATCGCAAGGTGGACCCGCAGCGTGTCGTCCATACTGCATTTTAAATGGGTACAAAAGCGGATATTGTAATTCAAAAGGAAATTGTGTATGCACCAACTGAGGCGGACAGCAGAGCATCGTACTATGGATCTTTCCGGAAAACCGACATCATTATCAAAAAAAATATATCTCGACCAAATTTTAAGCTCTCATTAAATTGAATGTAACCATATTAGTATATGTGAAAAATTTTTAATAGAATTTTCATTTCTACATGATTTCTTCATTTTGCCAATTAAAAATATGGTATATTTTTTGATAACCGTTGCTTTTGACAACCACCTTGAGTCCCCGTATATCGCACAATAATGCGCTATTTGTTGACGTGGTTATTAATGTATGTAATTACAAAGACGGAATTGTTGGATGGTGGCTTAACTAAATTTTTATATCGCTTGTTTTCAACCACAATTCGCACACGTCACCAGTGTTGGTATTCTGGCAAATAATTCCGATTCTTTCTTTTATCCAAAAATCGTTATTACTTTTTATAGTTTTATTTTGTTTACCTAACTATGGCAAAAATTTCGCAAAAGTCATTGTTTGAATACCTTAACATCATAAATAAAACTGATAAATGACAAAAGAATTTCTACAAAAATTTGACTTCATAAGATTTTCCATTGGTATCTTTTTTAAGAGAACTTTTCAAAATCCAATTTTCGTAAAAATGCTTATGTAATCTGTCTAATGCTAATAATTGTTTCGATTAATATCTGTTTTGTATCCATTGCATGTTCGAGTAAACTAAGTAACGTACGGCAACATCCGGTTTCAATATGTTCATGAATTCCGATGCAATTTTGTCTTTGAACATTTGAAAATAAGGTGTTCCCGTGTATGTATCGCCTCCATTTAGAAAGAGAACCGGCAACCCATTCCTTTTCTGATGATCGGCTCGATATCGTTTGATGAGAGTTGCAGCTCGCGCAAATCCACCGTAGCATTTGTGTTCTAGAGCCTCTTCAGGTGTACATTCACTGCCGGAATCTGACATTTCTTCGAAGTGTGCGTGCAAATCATTATTGTGCAACAGGACGAAATCCAATGCGGACTCTTTATTTTCAATTGGAACGGCACTCGCTACCGAAGCTACTAACAACAACACAATACTAAATTTGATTAATTTCGACATTATTCGCACACAAATTTCAATTTCAAAATATGCACAGTTGATAAAATACAGTCGTTTACGTTGAATGTCTCAAAATGAATTGAAAAGCTACGTTTAAAATGTATCATATTCACTATAGATATATTATTTTTTATGGTTCTCATTAAACAATAATGTAGGCTGATATCTTCAAAGATTGAAATAGTACCATGAGAATACATTTGAAAAATAAAAAAATATGTTTCACATGATAACACTGTCGCAATGAATGTGATCCTCCTGTGATTTGGATGTTTATACAGACATTTTTGAAAAATAGGTATAAATAAATGATAATGACTAGTGATACTAAAGTGATTGAAACAAAACCAAAGCGTGTGCTTTCCAATATAAATATAAATTGTGGTAAAAAAAATCTACGAACGTAGTTGCAAAGCAAGTAACATTATTTTTCGGAAATTTTAACACTTTTTCCATTAAATACCAAAAGTGTTTTAAACATTTTATTTCTTTTTATCTTATCATTGAGACTGCTATCTAAAATATACCCAATGAGAAATGGATAAATGCTTGATGCAGAAAATTAAAGCCAAGAAAGTGGTGATCCCATGGGCGTTATACGAAATCATACAATCATTTTTTCAAAGTGATTCTTTTTTATTAAAACATTATCGATCACACCATTGATGTGGATGGATAAAATAATTTCGGCTATTTTTTTATTTCTTGATCTGCGCATTTCTTCCCTGAAATAAATCTTTTTGAAAAAAGAGCGCTTTAAAAAAAATTAAGTGATTAATTTAAGATTTTTATCTATTTAAACTTTTTCCACCATAATTCATGTGATTTCATTTTTCAAATGAATAAATTGGCGTTCGTGAATTTATTTGCAAGAGAACTCAAGTGACAAAGCTAATTTTTACAATGTAACAGCTATTGCTATTGAAATTGTCTTTTTTAAAAAAGATTACACAAAAATCTTACTACAAATTACATAATTGTACAAATTATCTACCATTATTTTTTTATTTTTTTTGATTGCTTATGATTTAAAATAATGCTTAATAATGTGTCGTGAAATAATTGATACATGAACAAAGAAAAAAAAATGAAACACTATTCTATTGTCTATTGAAAGTAATTAAACAACGACACGGCCGTCAGTAAGATGATAGACAACGAAACAGTGCATCGTGGCGCACCACTTCCGGTTTTGGCAGGGGGATTGATGCCAAATGTAGATAATTTGAGCATTGTGATGCGACCTTCGACCACTGGATAAACTGTTCCATAGTCATGAATATACCGTTGTACAGCTTCAAATTCCGAGATATCCATGCTTTGTACATTATATTCCTTCAAAGAAATAGTGAACAAAAAAGATGAAATGTAAAATGCATTTGATCAAATAAAAAAATGGAGAATTTAATAAATATTTACTTTGAACATTGAAAATCCGTCGCCACCTTCGAATAAGAATTGCGATATAATGATGCCGTACATTTTTTTCGATTCGAGTTTTGAATACTGTGGAAGTTCACAATCGGCACACAAAATCTCTACCGACTTAACTCGATGACCGGACACTTTCTCCATATCATACACAACCCGAAGTCCAGACATTTGTAAGAACTCACCTCGATCGCCGGTGTATTGTTTAACCGAATGTTCAAGAGCTTGTAGAATTCCGGCGCCGGTAATGTTCATTATCAGCATTGAATTGTTAAACGGTAATATTGTTTTCAAATCAAACTTTGTAATTTTTCCAAATGGCATCGATGCACGTATGCCACCGCCTTGTACAAAACAAACAGCTGCATCTGTCCAATATTCACCCTGGTGCTGATTAACTCTTGTATAAACAAGCGCATCCGAAATCATATTGCCGAGATTACATTCAGTTTTGCGACATGAGTCACCATCTAAGTGCACCTTTGTGTAGCCGATCTCGGTTGTCGTTAATTCGATTACGGATGGACGATATTTTTCCAATAAATCCAAAGTTTCTGGATCACGTTCTATAGATCCGTTCAACAGAATTGGTGCACCACCCCAATGAATCAAATTTCCATTCGCATCAAACTAAATAATAAATTTTAAATAAAAATGTACATTCAATTGATTTGAGCACCGATACAAAAAATGATTGCATTTAAATACGTCTGCATTTGAAACTTACACTCAATTCCAACTCACCAAGGTATTTCGTATATGCATAGGCTTGAACAACGGGCACTTCTTTGCCACTGGTTTGTTTAATTACCGTTGGATATGGACCATTGATTTTTTCAATGTCCGGCTGTTGACCCGAATACAAAAATGTATTCGAATGGCCACCGATTACAACATCGACAAGTGGACATTTCTTTGCAATATCCTTATCAACATCATAACCAGAATGACCCAGCGCAATAATTATGTTAACACCTTTATTTTTTAATGCTTCCGATTCATCACTGGCGATTTGTTAATAAATGAATGTCAATCAATTGTCATTTGGTGAAATTAAAAGAGAAATAAAAACATAATCGTTAGTCAATTGGTGGCAGGCATGATAAATGAGTTTATTGATCTACTCACTTGATTGCCAATACTTCTGGAATGAATTCCAAATCGTTTGGAGTTGCAACCAGTTTTGTTTCTGGTGTAAGATAACCGATAACACCAACTTTGAATCCTTTAATGTCAAACACCACGGACTTTTTCAGTGCGGCCGTTTGCCATAAAATATGATCAGCTGAATTGTTTATATTGGACACTAACACTGGAAATGTGACATCATTCAAGAACGGCACCAACCCATCTATGCCCAAATCTAATTCATGATTTCCTAATGACTATAAAAAAACATAAAATGTGATTATTTTTTTTAGAAAACCAAAAATTGTCTTATTTTTAAAAAAATGATGGAATATAAGAGACTCAAAGGTGAAAAAGAGATTAGTCGGTTTTTACATTTTATGCGGCCATCGATTTTTTAAACTTACGAATTATGGCACTGATCAGTCTTCAATCAGTCTTTTTAAATTAAGATTTTTTTGTTGCCCAAAATTTAACGGCCACGCGAATCGCGTGACGCGATAAATGTTTGAATAAAAGTGATAAACGTTGTCAATAAAACTATCATGATTGTTGAAAAACGTAATACTATTTTACCAAGGACACTTATTTTTTATTATTGTTTATCTCTTATCAATAAACTCAGCAAAATTGAATAATAGGAACCTTTTATCTGATGAGCTGATGAAAACAATATTTCGATTGAAATACGTCAGATTTGGTTTAAAATATTTCATAGAAAATCGACATCAACTTAATAAAGAATTTTCAAGCATTTCAACTTGAATACGAGACTTTTTTTCATTGTTAAGCGTGTAAGTTCGCATATAAATGTATCAATGTATAAAAAAGTCTATATACTTACAATGGCATCAGGTTTGAGAATATTCATGAATTCTGAAACAATTTTGTCCTTGAAAATTGTGAACCACGGTGTTCCAGTGTAAGTGTCGCCAGCTAAATAAAAAGAAATCATCCACAATTTTCCAGCCGATAATATATTTTAATGATATTTACCATTCAAATATAAAACGGCTGGTCCACCTTTTTCCGCCTTTTTTCGATACTCTTTTATTACGTATGAAACACGTGCCATGCCACCATAGCATCTATTTTCAACAATTTCGTCGGGATGACATGTTGACGAAAATTTATCAGTCTGTTCGAAGCGTGCATGCATATCATTATTATGTAAAATGATCAAGTCTAATGCTGAATTTTTATTTGATCCATTTTGTAGGGGTATTGTTCGTGCGATATCCACTAACAGACCAATTACTAGGGCAATGCAAATCCGATAATATGATTTAATTCGGATCATTTTTGTTTATATATAATAAATCAAGTTCACTGCCAAAACACACAAAAAAAATTCAACAATAAAAAAAATATATATATTACAAGTTATTCAACGTTTCAATTTAAATTCAATTCAAACAAAAAAAAAATAAACCAAACACACAACAGTAAATTGATTGAGAATATCGTTGCAAATTGTCGTTATCACATTGAACTGTTTTCATGTGCATGTGTTCAGCGCACATGTCTGTCGACTAATGTCGGGCTGTAGCTCTCAACACAACCCAAGTATATATCTTTTACCACACTAATGCGTTCGACTGATAGACTGACGAATAATAATCCGACTACGCTTGCATTCGTATGCTTGTAAAAAAAAAATAACCGACCGGAGCCAGTCTAGTCGGAAATTGTATGTAAAAAAAGAAGCATCCTTTTCTTTTCATCAGTGGGCACTCTTAATGAATGTGTTTTAGTTTGAAAAAGAGAAAAATTCAGACAAGAGAATGTTTGAAGTTTTTATGCGTCTAGCAAATTTTTAAATATGTGAACATGTTTTACATCAAGATCGAATGCTTTTTATTAGTTTTTGTATTTTTATGAGTGGTTTTTGATGTATTTGTATCGTATTCACTTGTTGAATGTGTGAAAAATATTTTGACTGACGATGGGTGAGAAACGAAGCAATCGATTAAATTCTTATCATGCGAATGAACGTATTTTACAAACTTTTTTTACATTCGTGCCCTTCGTATGTCTGTAGATTGATAAGCAATTTTGGGAAGTCTTCACTTAATGAATTTATGCACGCGATACAACAAAAGGGAATTAGGACTTTGAACAGACGCAAAGAACTGGCAATTAAATGCATACAGAAAAAAATTTGTCAAACGATGAAATATGTTGTATCTTTCACCAATTGTGAGACGTGATTTTAAATTTCAATTTAATTTTTTTTACACGCATTGTATGTCGTTTATTTTTTCGTTCGATTACACACAAATTTGCTGTTCCTCACACGTACACAATGTCAAGTTTATTTTTGTCACGTGCTAAGCTGAACGATGTAAAAAAAAAAACAACATAAAATCATCTTTTATTAGCTTGAGCTCGAAACCATCGGAAATTTTGCTAAATTTTCATTCAAATGAGTTGTTAGTTTTATTTTAGGCCTACAATTTCTGTGTGAATATACACAGTTTTTTTTTTTCAAATATACACAAACGCAAAATTTACAAATGTCAATGACCGATGTTAAAGGTAACATGGGTAATGTTGGCACTAAATCAAAATTCGATTGATGTGTTTGTGTGTACGTAAAAAATGCCTCCATTATTAACTTGTTGCTAACGTTGCATTTGACCGAGTCGAGTAATGAGATTGTTTGGTTGCATGTTGAAATACGCACATTTTCACAAATTGTAGATTTCATTTTAAACAGTTTGTTAATTGATTCGCTGAATTCAACAGAACACTTAACCTTTTTATGAATTGCTTTTTTTGTTTGAGAACTTCAAACTTTATGCTTTCTTTTTTCAACTAATAATAATAACTTCCAGATGAGAATGTCAATTTTTTTTTGGTAATAATCTGGTTTTTGGTGATAATCCGTGCCGAGCCATTTTCGATAAATCAAGGCAATTACCGTTTCGATAGAAATATATATAAACCGGCTAGAATATTCGTGACTTCAAGAAATTTGTCAGAATAAAACTGAAACGGTTCTGTACATTCTTTATATGAACATGTTGCTCTTTTACTCTAACAGATTTCCTGATCTCACGATTCATACCTTGATATTTTATGAAAAAGTTGTACTCTCTCAAATTCCCGAAATTCTAGTAAAATATTGTCATTCAGAATTTGAATCGTCGAAATATGAGGTGAACATTTGTTAATCGATTTAATGCTACCTTTGTCTATTGTGTCGATCGTAATTCATGATATCATCTACTTATCAAAGACGCACAATTTCATTTAAGGTTAAACGTCAACAATTATCATCTATCGTTGACCGAGGGCGCATTTCTATAGCTTGTGCGAAATCATCCATACTGCATTCAATGTTAATCGTATGCAGCAAAAGGACAACACGTTAAAAGGCATATAGGCAACTAAAAAATCGCTGATTCATATCGATGTGCGAAGAATATGATTTATGAGTCCGAATTCTAATGTTCATTTGATAAATTTGGTATAAATTCTCGATTGAATCTTAATTTATTTAACTTAATTCACTTATTGATCATCAAGTATTGTATGGACACTCATGATACACTTTTTATTTATTCATATCAAAGTAACTTGATAATACAACTTAAATAGGATGTTTTCAATTAATTGCTACAAACTTCAATATTTTTGCGGAGATTTTTGAAATTTTATCAATTGGTTGTTGGACGTTTATTCTTGCAGATAACGATCCACTTACGAAAATTTGATAAATAACGATTTGAAATTGACGAATCTTTGACGATTTATATTTACTTGATTTTAACACATGATTCAATGTAATTTCTTCGATAACGAAATTTCAACAAAAACATTGGCTCCCTCTCTCTCTTTTGTTCTTTCGCACGATTGAAACTCTGTTCTCTTGTTTGTTCAGCTTTCCTTAAACGTTTCTTATCAAATTCATCAACAAAAGGTTTTTTAATGAACAAAAATAATGCATATAAACACATTTATCCATGCATCTCTCCATTTATTGACGGTTTTAAATTAAAAAGAATACTCTCCGTCGCCAACAATTTGCACATTCTCATGCGATATTTTTGAATACAAGTGTGACCACAACAATTTTTGCTACTCTTTATATTTCGAATCCACATAGAGACTATTAATACAATATTATTATAGCGGTAACGTTTTCTACTCTCTGGTTCATATCTTGAGAATTATTTATGTCCAACATATTTATTCATATATATTATTTTAATAGTTGTGGCCAATAACACGCAATATGTTGGGAAACAAATTTGGCAACATATGAATATGTTTGCGAATATGCTATTTACATATTAATGAGCGTCAAGCTGTATTAGAAAAGTTTAATCATTTAATCACGCATCATGCGGATATGTACGCATGCTAAAATCCAGCCCATGTGGAGATCCATAAACTAATATGATATTTCACAGAGTTGACTATGATTTGCATTTGCTATTTATGGAAATGTCACATGTTAATGTGCCGGTGTAAAAAAAGTATTCCTTTAATGTCAAAACATCATAAAATCGACACAGATCTTTGAAATGTGGTCTTTCTTATTTTATTTAGACCAGTAAAAAGTAAAAACATCATTGGATCGTTAGTCAATGTAATTGAAAAACGTCCAACACACAAAATTAGTTCTCTACAAAAAGACAAAATCATACAAAGATCCATTGATACACCTCGTGTTTAAGTCATAAATAACAATATTCGAACCACAAAAACAATAATTAGAAATGTCAATGGCGCATATAAAACACTTGTTCAAATAAATTTACGCCAAAGTAATAATTTTTGGTTTCGAATTGTGTTAGAATTGTAATTTTAACGTTTGCTAGAAATGGCATATATTTTTGAAACGTGTAGAAGTCTCTCTATGGAAACTACATGTATTAAACTGCTGTCTCAGTGGTTTACTAAACAAAGGTGACAATTTTGTCAAAAGTAAAAAAAGTGTGTATACACTGTGTAAGTAATGAGTACATAGGAAATTTGACTTTGGCGTATCATCATGAAATTGGATAACAATTTCCAATTTACGCATTCATTTGCCGTGAAACAAACGACAGAGAAATAAATGCCAATCAACAAATATAAAACACAATAATTTACAAGCAAACTATTTAATCATACGTTTTAAATATATGCTTACGCCAAGTGCGACACAAAATTCACAGGCCATAAATTCGACAACAAAATCTATCACAATAAATTGTTTTCCATTTATTTTTGCCTGTTCAAACGTTCTATTCAATTCTAATATGGGGATATAACCATTGATTTTCGCTTCAAATTGCATGTAATTTGATAAACAAAATGTCTTTTGTCTTTTTTTTGTTTTGATTGAAAGGAAAATTCCACTATTCTAAATCTAAATTAATATCGTAAGTATCGTTAATTCGATCCCATTAAATCCAGAATTCAAACCAAATTGTACCACATTGAACGAACGTTATTTGTTTGTGTCGGCAATTAAATCGTTTTAACGTATGTAAATATGTGAAATGAAATTATTGTCTGACGACGAGCGATAGAGATATGAGAAATCATCATGAAATGTAATAAATGTGTCTAATCAAATTGCATCCATAAAAGGTAATTTAAATGCCAATTAAAATTGTTTTACTACGATTTCCCGTATTTACTACTATTTTCAGTATGATTCTATCGTAAAAATTGGGAACATCATTCGGTAAGCCCGATAGCGATTTCATTCACAATTTTGCAGAGATAAAGAATTCCACGATAGTCGTATGAAGTGCTCTTATTATCCCGGTAACACTGAACAAACTCTTGTATTGACTATCAATGAAATGTATGACCTCGCGATATATGGCAACGATTCATTGACAATTTAATGAGATTAATTCCTGTATTCGGTATTTCATCGCATTGGCGCTTTGATTTTAATGTATCGATGTTACAACATCAAAATGTTTATTCGCTCATTTTGTACGTCATTTCTCGTCAAAAATGTTTATTCGCTTTTCAACGTGAACACACTACAAATAAATAAAGCGACATGTACACTGCACATTTTTTTTCACATCAATTTCTGTGTTTGTTCGGTTTCTGTTTAATTTGTCTATCGATTTTGAAAGAAAAAATGCATCGTCATTTTTTACCATAAAAAAAATCACTATCCGGAAGATCAAAAAAAAGGTTGCCAATGGCATGACAAATATATCGTCAAACTTACCGAACAGAATAAAAAATGCTTTAGCTGGAAAAATACACTAAACACAAGAATCGATGCCACTTTATGAGAATTTTCTTTATTGTCTCCAATCCATTAAATTGAATATATCGTAGCTATAACGATGGTGGAATGAAAGACGATGTGTCCGATATTACGAATTTTGACGGAGTGTGCCTCTCAGCTGATGTACGTCGCAGACTGATTACAATTTGATTGTGGGCGCACTTTTCATATGTCTTTCAGCTGATTATTGCCTCATATACACATTGAGCATATTCATAGGCAGCAACAACCTACCTTAAACAATATCGAATCGAAAAGAGAGAAGGAACGAAAAAAGCACATACACACACACACAACAAATACTTATCGTTTTGTACAACTCTTCAACAAATTGACAAATGAATCCGAATTGGAAGCAAAATCAACGCGCTTTTTTTATTCGCTCGACATTCTTTTGTTTAACCAACCACTGCTTATTGACACAGGCATTTTGATTGTTCATTAATAAACATATGTAAAAAACAATGATTATGGAGAAATGTCGTTATTCAAAATATATCATCAAAAATTTGAGCGAGAATAATAGAACAAAAAAACGTGTAACGGTAAATAGAACAAAAAGCACTATAGGCGTGCTGAAATACGGCAATTTTTTTTGTCATTCACACAGTAAAAACACACGTTGCGGTTATTATTATCAAATTCAAATAGAAACAAAACAACACTATATATCGAATGAAGGTGATATATTCAATTCACTAAAATATTTCCGCTAGAAAATATGCTGCCGTTTGTACAACTCACTACGTTAGACTTTCATTTAAATTAATTGTGCAATCATACATGTCAATACGAACGGTGCTGTTGTTGGTATTGTTGTTGTCATTTGCTACAGTGTATTTGAACGATGGAACTGTTTGGCATACAAAATCGTATATGAACTGTATGCGTTTGATGAGGACAAGCCATTGAAAGTGCAATACATGTGATTTTGTAGCACACATTTTTTTTCTATCGTGTATGCAAATACGTGCACTTGACCATCACCGCTGTTTTTATTTTGTCGAAATTCGATGGAATGCCATTCATTTTGTTCAATCAAACTGTTTTCAATGATAAATTCACTCATAACATAACATAATAAACGTGATCATCTTTCAATTTATGTATGTAGTTTAGGTATACACTTGTGTGCATGCTTGCTTGTACGTGTTCACAACTACATTTGATGAATTGAATGCCAAAATTAAAAGTGCACACCGTATCGATCTATA